CCAATTCTTCTCAATGATTTTCACTCAGCAAGTAATCAATACTTTGTAGACAAACTCCTTTCCTTTCTCTAACAGCTGAGTCTCCTCCCTTTTGGGGCATCCATAGGTGATCCATGATGAGCCTCTTAAAGCAACTTCACTACCTCAGAGATATGTGTATACCATATTATTCAGGCCTAGGAATTAAAGGGTCATAATAATGCCCTCCTCTATTAGATAGTTCTAAGAATCCCTGGTGCCATGTGTAGTGGCGTTTGCATTGGGCTGCTGATCACAAAATCGGCAGTTTAAACCCACCAGCCATGCTAGAAAGAAGAGGCTTTCTGTGAAATGGCCCACCTTGGAAACCCAAAGGGGGGGGGTAGTTCTACCCTGTCCTTCAGGGTTGCTTTAAATCAGAATCAACTTACTGACAGTAAGATTTGAACAGTGTTTTGTGAGGCACAGGGGAGTGTAGATAGATGTAGTTTTGAGGGTGCAAAAATTCTAAAGAAAGTAGAGAATCTCCCTGGCTTGCTGGGAGAACCAGGGAAAGCCTAGCTTCCCCACTAGAGGAAAAAAAAAGAAATTAGAGAATCATTTCAATCGTCTTCATCTGTATTTTATCGGGGAGTGGGGGGCCTCGGGGGAAGCAGTAAAGCCTAAGTTGGTAAAATTATTGGATCAAGCAACAAAACTAGGTTTTCTTTCAACATTGAGAGAGTGTTTTTACTCTCCTAGATACTAGCCATCCTACTTAGTTATCTTTAAGATGTTCCTGGAGCTGAGGTGGTAATGGTAAGAAAATTGGTGAGACTCTATATAACCCAGAATATTTTTTTGCTGTATGAAAAAGTTTTTCCCAGGGAAAAAAATTGGCCTTGGACTATGACCTTCCTTTGTTTCTACCATTTTTTACTCCAGGGTCCAGGTACTGTTCTAAGTAATCTACATTAATATCTATTAATTCTCACAAAACCTTTTGCCGTGTTATTAAATTGGATAAACAAACATGTAGAAGTTTGCTTAAGAATCACCACAACACCTAAGCAGAGGAGACACAAGATTTAATTGAGTCCTCATTTATGCAATAGATAACTTGTTTTTCTCTGTGTACTGAGGTGCATTTTGTATGCTTTTAACAGATTCTTAGACCATAGGTATTGATGGTACCTGCGTGGTTGATCCATCAGCACACATATTAAATTTGAACAAAGCAAAATTTCGTTAACATGTTCTATACAACTGAACAGAAAGGATGGTCTGGGCATGTTTTCTGGAAAGGTGTGTCTTTCAGCGACTTCACCAAAGGTGTCTGAACATTTGATGCCTCCTTTGTCTGCCCCAGGTACTCTTTTGGCTGAGCTACGGGAATATAACCTGGAACAGCAGCGTCGAGCCCAGTGTGAAACCCTCTCTCCTGATGGCCTTCCCGAGGAGCAGCCACAAACCACTAAGTTAAAAGGCAAAATGCAGAGCAGGTAGGTTGTAGCTACTATTTTGGCTGGAGGACAAAAATCTGGGACATTCTGGAAGGTGACTCTTTCTAGTTTCCTGGTCTCTTTCTCTGAGTACTTGAGGATGTCAAAAAGTATTAACTGATTGGTTTAGAGTTCATGTATGCACAAGTCTATTCCAAACAAAACATGTTTAAACATGTCTCTGATCACTGGATGACTGCAGGAAGTTTTCTTTATCCTAGAGTCTTTAGAGTGCCTTCAAAGAACAGGTCCAATTTACCAAAAAACGGTGACTTTAAGGATCTGGTGGGACAGTTAAATTCAAGGTAGAGAGGTTACCTCAGCAAGTATGGTAACATTTTTGTGGAATTCCCACAGGATAATCTTGTTATATTTTCTCAGGGGCCACGGGACAATCATTGGTAAGAAAATTTAAGACTACATTTGAAGAGGGCCAGGAAAATTGTGCTGAGGGTTTTTTTCCTCACAACAAGGGTTGGCCTCACAATTTTGTCAGGAAACCTTATCCCATCCCCATCCACCCCACAGCCCTAATCTTGCCCTTCTAGATTTCTTTTGGTCCACAAAACTCAGAATTTGAAAGAAAAATGAGTCCCTCTAGTATGCCAGAACTGCTGTTTTGACATGGTGTGAGTGGACAAGCACAGAATTATTGGGGAAAGGGTTAGAGATAGAAATACTACCTTCAGAAGTGTATAGACCAAGATGGAGGATATGTGAAAACACTTGCTTTACATTTGTATTATTCTTTAATAAAGGTAGATTAAAAAAAATTTTGGGGGGCGGTTTCCTTCAGCTTCCTGCTTTCAGTTATTTTGTAGCAATACTTTTTTATTTACCCTAGTATTTTCCTGTTCTACGCATGCATGACCATGGTTTTTTGTTTGTTTGTTTTCTACTAAGATTTCTTTCTATGGTTCTTTACCCCTTTGATTGACACCAGAAACCTATGTTTGCTCTGAGTACTTTGACCCTGTCAGTATACCAAAGCCACCTCTACACTATCCAGGTTTGATATGGCTGAGAATGTAGTAATTGTGGCATCTCAGAAGCGACCCTTGGGTGGCCGAGAGCTCCAGCTGCCTTCTATGTCCATGTTGACATCCAAGACATCTACCCAGAAGTTCTTCTTGAGGGTGCTTCAGGTCATCATTCAGCTCCGGGACGACACACGCCGAGCTAACAAGAAAGCCAAGCAGACAGGAAGGCTAGGTATGGAACTGGAATGTCCAGTTGAGGGATAAGGGGGGGTCTGTAGGGTGGAGAACTCAGAGTCCCTGGAGGACAGGGCTGTCATGTCTCCATGTTGGATTTTTCCAGAAAGTAAATGATGATGCTATCTTAAAATATTGAATGAATTCCATATCTCACTCAAACTCTCTGCATAGGAAATTCATTAGGACAAGTGAAATTTTAGGGGAATTGGGAATGGACCTTGTGCTGAATAGCACTTAACCCAGTGGGTGTAACTACATTCTACTTTAATTACTTTTGACTAAAACACTGTAGTCATGTTGTTTCTACTGTGTCCTGCCAAATCATTTTCCCTACCTCTTCTGTCCACAGAATTCTCTCATATGTCCCCTGCCCTTATTCATAATGATAGATAAGAGTGCTTGATGATGAATACTCTGCAGCTTATTGAACTAGAGTTTAAACAACACAGCAGGTTTTCTTTTGATAGCCTAGAGGATGTTGGGGAGAGAAAATTGGGCATTTTATCTTCCTACATTTTACATCTTGCCTTTTTTTTTTTTGTCTTCCCAGGTTCTTCCGGTCTGGGCTCAGCTAGCAGCATCCAGGCAGCTGTTCGGCAGCTGGAGGCTGAGGCTGATGCCATTATACAAATGGTACGTGAGGGTCAAAGGGCGCGGAGACAGCAACAAGCAGCAACGGTTAGCATGATGCCTGTGGCCCCTCATTCATTTGTCCCTCCCCCCTTTTCTCCCCCCACCATATCATCAGTGAGGTTTTGCTGTATGCTTTTGCATTACGTTTGCTATATGAATGCTTCTGAACAACAGAGTTCCTTTCTGTTGTTCTTGTGTTTTGATTTACTGTATCTGTTGGTTTGGTTTGATTTGGCTTACTTTCAAGCTTGGCTGTAATAACCCACCCCAGCTATCCAGTCAACAGTGGCGCTTTTGCAAACTGCCTAATGTTAAGTCTCTGGGTTCTGAGGGATGCGGGTTGGACCTTTTTCATTCTCGTGTAATACAAGTACATCATAGACACCTCAAGGATCCTTCCCTTGAAAAGTACCCAAGTTTTATATATACCCCTTACAACTGCTTTTATCTATAACTTGTCCCTCCACTCTAACCGCTGCCTCTCCTCTTCATAATCCTTTGGCACTTAGGCACTCGGGAACTTTTAGGACGAAGCTTTTAGATACTTAGGTAACCAGCTCTGAGAGTTCAGATCCTAGCACACAGTGTCTGCAATAAAAGCCTGGGATTTCATGCATGTGTACTGTTATCTCATTGTTTTCTTGTCCTTACAACATACAAGTCACCTTCCCAAGAGCCAAGAAATAAAGGTATCCCAAGGTCTGGTTTTTCTTTGTGTACAATTACTATTACACACTATTAAATTTGGAGACAGTGAGTCTAGGAAGGTAGAAAAGCAAAATAGAGAGGCATTCTAGATTGCTAATTTTTTTTCCCTTTCCAGCCTCTCTTTCCTCACCCAATGAGATTAAAAAGTTGGCTTTTTAAATACTCCCACCATCAATGATTATACTAACTCCTTTTATGAGCAAACAGAAAGAGTAAACTTCTGCCCATCTGTATTTTATATCTATGTAAACTATTCTCTATAGAGGACTTTCAGTCTAGGTCTAAGAGACTGATACCTCCCTGGACACTAATCTGGCAATGCAGAAGTCAGGGATCACTTTATATAAGCTTGCAAATAGTGTGCAGAATAACAAAGGCAGAAGGGAAGCCATTCTTTTATCCTGGTGAGGTATTTTCCTGGCCAGATATGAGAAGCTTCCTTCGAAACTGATGATATGTGAAGAGTAGGAGAGCCAACCTATAGCCCATCCCTGAGGAAAGCAGAGTTGCAGACTTTATATAACTTTATCTCCCTTTTATCCAGTCGGAGTCTAGCCAGTCAGAGGCATCTGTTCGGAGGGAGGAGTCACCTATGGATGTGGACCAGCCATCTCCTAGCGCTCAAGATACTCAATCCATTGGTCAGTACTACCTGTTTACAGCCTACCTAAAGAGAGAGCCACACTTTTATGGAATGTTCACCAGATCGCCTAAGATAAATAAATGTTGGTAGTTGCTTACCAGCTATCCCAGAAGGCTTGACAGTCTTCATACCAAAAAAATGCAGCTTTTGAAAACACAGTGGAGCACAGTTCTACTCTGAAACACATGAGTCATCATCAACTCAGAATAGCTTTGGTTTATTTTGTTACTAACCAAATAATATCACTAACCACACTGCTTCATTGTTATTAGGAGATTAGTAGTACATATTGCAATTCCTGTAGTAAAGTTCATGGAAATTGAATGTGGCAACCCTTCCTTTGCTTTAGTTACTTATTTAAAGTAGAACCATTCATAGTTACCAGGATCAACAAGTTAATACATGTTTAGCACTTACAAAGCAGTGGCTGGGACTAACATTTCTCAAAGCTGGTTGCATACATTAGATTTTGGCAGTTTCTTAAATGCTGTATCTAGTTATCATATTAAACAGACTTTGTGAGGAATGAAAGTTAACCCTGTGTTCTTTTGCCTGAGGTCACATGATCTGTAGGTGCCAGTGCCAATATTCAAACTTGGAGTTATGGAGCTTTAAAGAATAGTCTGGACTTGGGGTTCTTGTTGTCTTGGTGTCAGCAAATGGGTTCCGAGTCAACAACTCTTTGTACAACAGAATGAAACGCTGCCCAGCCCTGTGCCATCCTCACTTTGTTGTTTTTCAACTCATTGGTGCAGCCACTGTGACAATCCTTCTCATGTAGAGTCTTCTACAAAGCATGCTATTTTTTCCCAAGGACTTATCTCTTGACATGTCCAGCGGACATGAGACAAGGAAAGTCTCACCACCCTCGCTTCTCAGGAGCATTCTGGCTGTACCTCTTTCTTCTAAGATAGATTTGTTTGTTCTTTTGGCAGTTCATGGTACTTTGGGTATTCTTCACCAGCACAATAATGAAAATAAGTCAATTCTTCTTCAGTCTTCTTTATTCAATCAGTGTCCAACTTTAACGTGCATTTCAGGTGATTCAAAGTACCTGTCTTGGATCAGGAGCACCTTAGTCCTGAAAGTAAAATTGTTGCTCTTCTCCACTTTAAAGAGATCTTGTGCAGCAGATGTACCCAATGTAATGCATCATTTCATTTCTTGACTGCTGCTTCCATGAGCATTGATTGTGGATCCAAGCAAGATAGAATCCTTGACAATGTCAATCTTTTCTCCATTTATGATGTTGAGAGGACTTTCATTTTCTTTACAGGAATTTGGGTAGATATGTTAAAGCGTGAGGTCATGCATGAATAAGCCTAAAAGGGGACATATATTAGTGTGGAGGGTGTTTGTATAGAGGGGAAGAGAAGACGGGGTTGGTGAGAAAGCATTTGGCTTATCCTCACAGAAAATTGGTTACGTCTTGCTACTTACTTGACTACTGAGCAGAATTTATAATAAGCCCTTGATGAGAACTGGGAAAAGTACCAGCCATGGTGGCCCATCCGTTGCAACATAGGACAAGATGACTAATTCAGAAGACTCTAGGTTTAGAATCAAAGATCTGCGATTATGACCCGACCCTGTCTTTGACAAATGAAATAAGGAGAAAGCAGCCTTCTTCCAAGAATTGTTGTCAATATTCAGCAAGGCTAATCTTGCCTTAGCACATTGTTGGTAACCTGGAAAATAAAGTCTCACCATTGTGTTGCCTTGAGATGTGCTTCACAGGTTCTCTGAGGGTTAATGAAGGGACAACACGATTAGTACTGTCCAGTAAAGCGCTCTAGTTATATTTGGCTATTGCATGGTTGAAATGTTGCCAGTTCAACTAAGGAATGAAGTATTTTTAGTTTAAATGTCACCCAACACAAAACTATACACCTGGCTCTTAAATGTTCAATGAGTGTTGCTCAGTGGCCGTTTTACTTGATCTTTTTAGTGGAATATGCTTTTATCATCTGATCTGAGAAAAATCTGAGTGACAGCATAACCTTTAAGACCTTCTTAATTATCTTTTCTATAGGGTCTGATGGAACTCCACAGGGAGAAAAGGAGAAGGAAGAAAGGCCACCAGAGTTACCCCTGCTCAGTGAGCAGCTGAGCTTGGATGAACTGTGGGATATGCTGGGGGAGTGTTTAAAGGAACTGGAGGAATCCCATGACCAGCATGCAGTACTAGGTGAGTTGTGGCCTGAGAGCCCAGATTTCAATCCAGTGGTCTAATTTTGGGCCCTTTTTTGCTGGCAACCTTCTTTCCAGTTACTTCTCCTGCAGTAAGACTATATTGTTACTTGTTTATTTGTGTTAATAAAACAAGAATTCAAAGATTTTTTTTTCTAACTTGAGTGTTAGGAAAATATTTGCCTTTTTTTAAACTTTAATTTTTTAAGAGCAGTTTCTGATTTATAAATTATACAGTGGGTGTAGAGTTCCCATACACACCCTCTACTCTGGTGCATATTTGTTGTTGAAAATATATTGCCCTCTCTCCGTGACTGATTTATTTTACTTCTTAGACCTGAGGAATCTATTTTATTTTTTTATGTTCATTTTAAGGGGCTCGTACAACAATCCATATATCAATTGTATAAAGCATATTTGTACATATGTTGGTATCATTGAAGAGTTACCTATCCCATATTCCTTTAGCACCAAGTTAGTTCTGGTTTCCTCTGTATCTTCATTCTACTTTTTGTTTTTTAAAAGGCGTGGTTGTGGTATTCGAAATTGAAAGATAAATCACTTCCCCTATCATTCTTACCCCTAGTGCTACAGCCTGCCGTTGAGGCCTTCTTTCTGGTCCATGCCACAGAGCGGGAAAGCAAGCCTCCTGTTCGAGATACCCGTGAGAGTCAGCTGGCACACATCAAGGATGAGCCGCCTCCACTCTCCCCTGCCCCTTTAACCCCAGCCACTCCTTCCTCCCTTGACCCTTTCTTCTCCCGGGAGCCTTCATCTATGCATATCTCCTCAAGTCTACCCCCTGACACACAGAAGTTCCTTCGCTTTGCAGGTAAAGGGAACTCAAAATATTGAAGGCTTCATTTAATACAGCAATTGTTGGTGTGGTGTTAAATAGATAGTCTAGTGTGGGGTCAATAGAGGTCAATTTTGGAAGCCCTTGTCTGCTACATTAAGGGGGTTGGACTTGGTTTGGGTAGTGACATGGGCAAAGGGAATATTGATAGGTGTTAACACTATAGGCTTAGGCTAGTTTTTGGTTTGGTTTGTGGGTTTTGAGGAGGCTTTTTTAATCTTATTTCCTGTATTTTATTTCAAATCAACAATAAAACTTCCTTAGATAGGCAACTGTAAACGAACCATATTTGACACGGAAATATGCATATAGGAAATTTTTTGCGTGTTAATGTTACATTTACGTGACCAACTTTTATAAAGCAACACATTAGAGGAAAAATCAATATTCACATATTCAAAAAATAGCACACCATTTTATGGATCACAAAAATACGTGACAACTTAAAATAATGGGCTTTTGACTCGGATTTGTTTTTTGTTTTTTTAATAGGCCCCTGAAACAAGGAAGTGGCTGGCTGGCTGGCTAGAGCTCTCTGAGACTCATGAGATACTGATTCTTGCTGTTCTTTTTTCCTTCAGAGACTCATCGCACTGTGTTAAACCAGATCCTACGGCAGTCCACCACCCATCTTGCTGATGGGCCCTTTGCTGTCCTGGTAGACTACATTCGTGTCCTTGACTTTGATGTCAAACGCAAGTATGTGACCTGGATGTGTGGGACAACAGAAGTAGGGAACCCAAGGTTGGCCACGGGGTGATGAGAAGGCAGCCGGGTTACCCCTAGAAAGGACCCAAATTTCCTCATGGAGAAATGTTTTAAGTATTTTATGGAAGCACTAAGAATGAGCAAAAAAAACTCTTCCCAGATATCCCCTTGCCATTTTCTATTTTTCATCGGGGATATTTGGACATTTGTTTAACCACATCGTTTCTACAAAAACCATTGTATCATTTTGCAATAGTAGAGATGGTGCAGGTAGCTATAGTACACTTACAGAATAGGATCTTAGAGGGATCTTGACGAAAACTCCTGTCACTCACACTCCTCTTCCATTCTATGCATAGGCACATGCTTACTTGCTTGTTCCAGAAATCACATGCCACAAACTACATGAACTCTTAATTAAAAATGGGAAAATTTTAGTTGGTGGTAAATGACTGTTATGGGCATTTATCAAAGACAGTATGAAGCCGGGATCAACGTGTTTGAAAGGTGGAAGGCCAGCAAGCAAATATTTTTCAACACAGACCCACCATCCTGTTAACTTCCTTTCCTGTGTTCCAAGATATTTTCGCCAAGAGCTGGAGCGTTTGGATGAAGGGCTCCGGAAAGAAGATATGGCTGTGCATGTCCGCCGTGACCATGTGTTTGAAGATTCCTATCGTGAGCTGCATCGCAAATCCCCTGAAGAAATGAAGAATCGATTGTAAGCACATACAGTGTGGGCATGGCCAGTGCAGGGGTATGGGGGTTCCCATAGCGTGTAAATGACTTACTCAGGTCTTAGGTGTACCAGGGAATTTAGGAAAGTGTTATTTTCACCAACATTGTTATTTTTAGGCGCTATCAAATCAATTGTTTTCCTTTTTTTGAGCCTATTGTTGCAGCCACTGTGTTAATCCTTCTTGTCAAGGGCCTTCCTCTTTTTTGCTTCCCCTCTACTTTACTATGCATGATGATGTCCTTACCCAGGGACTGGTCTCTCCTGACAACATGTCCAAATACATGCAAAGTCTCACCATCCTTGCTTCTAAGGAGTAGTATGGCTGTACTTCTTCCAAGATAGATCTGTTTGTTCTTTTGACAGTCCATGGTACTTTCAATGTTCTTCGCCAGCACCATAATTCAAATGCATCGATTTCTCTTCGGTGTTCCTTATTCACTGTTCAACTTTCACATTCATATGAGGCAATTTGAAAATACCTCTCTTGGATCAGGTGCACCTTAGTCCTCAGCGTGACATTGTTGCTCTTCAACACTTTAAAGAGGTCTTAGGCAGCAGATTCACATTAATAAAGCATCGATTGATGCTATTTTCGTGTGTGTGTGTGTGTGTGTGTGTCTTTTTATTATTATTATTTCGTAATGTTACCTGTTGGTCCTGTTATGAGGATTTTTGTTTTTATATTGAGTTCTAATCCATACTGGAGGCTGCAATCCTTTATGTTCACCAAGCAAGGTTATGTCATCTGTGTATCACAGGTTGTTAGTAAACCTTTCCTGATGCCACTTCTTCATATAATCCACCTTCTCTGATAGACACAGCACTCTCGGTTGTTTATTCACTGAGGTAAATTTCACTTCAGTGAATGGATGAATGTGTTCTGGGGCTTTCTTCACAGCTTTCTTATGTTTCTGTTCCCTTGTACAGGTATATCGTGTTTGAAGGAGAAGAAGGGCAGGATGCTGGAGGGCTCCTGAGGGAATGGTATATGATCATCTCTCGAGAGATGTTTAACCCTATGTATGCCTTGTTCCGCACCTCACCCGGTGATCGAGTCACCTATACCATCAATCCATCTTCCCACTGCAACCCCAACCACCTTAGCTACTTCAAGTTTGTTGGACGTATTGTAGCCAAAGCTGTATATGACAACCGCCTTCTGGAGTGCTACTTTACTCGATCCTTCTACAAACATATCCTGGGCAAGTCTGTCAGGTAAAGATGTGGTATAGACTTAGAACTGTCCCAAATCATGGAAATTGTCTTTTTTTTTTCTTGTGTCCCATCCCTCTGCTATCCTGGTCTTCCACCTCGTCACCCTATCAACTTGTGTTTTGCTAGATACACAGATATGGAGAGTGAAGATTACCACTTTTACCAGGGCCTGGTTTATCTGCTGGAAAATGATGTCTCTACCCTAGGCTATGACCTTACTTTTAGCACTGAGGTATGTCAGAAAATCCTGATAATAGCATATCCCAGTTATAGATTACTCTTCCCCCAAATAGTTTTCCATAAAAGTTGTGTGTTGTGATATATATGCCCTTTGCCGTTTTACCTTTCACAGTGTTTTGGAGCCAAAGAGTAATTTCCCTCATTTCTACTCTTGCTTTTCCCTTAGTGGTGAACTAGTGAGAAATGACTGTCTTTTGGGAATGTGCCTCTCCTCACTGCCTAGGACATGGCAAGGAGTTTAGGATGGGTTCCTGGGTGATCTATGTTAATCCTGAGTATGGTTTGTATGATTGTTGTTTTGGGGTACTCTAGGTCCAAGAGTTTGGAGTCTGTGAAGTTCGTGACCTCAAACCCAATGGGGCCAATATCTTGGTAACTGAAGAAAATAAAAAGGAATATGTACACCTAGTATGCCAGATGAGAATGACAGGTAAGAGAAATAGCACTTTAGCCCTTTGTGCTCAATATGGGAAGAGGTCAGGTTTCATTCAGTTCACAAACATTTGTTGGTGCTATTCGCTAATGCTACTAATGCCTTGGGCAAAAAACATCCCAAAACCATCCACTCAATAACAGGACCCTAGAAAAATGTTGGTCAGAAGCAAACATAGCAATCAATATCCTAGCGGCAGCAGGAGCAAGATCCCTGACTTCTAACAGTTGTATGAGTTCAGAACATGTGCCTTTTTGGTTCTCCTCCCCAGGAGCCATCCGAAAACAGCTGGCAGCTTTCTTAGAAGGATTCTATGAGATCATTCCAAAGCGCCTCATTTCCATCTTCACTGAACAGGAGTTAGAGTTGCTTATATCAGGATTGCCCACAATTGACATTGATGATCTGAAATCTAATACTGAATACCACAAGTACCAGTCCAACTCTATTCAGGTGAGCTGCTATTGGTCTCCATCTGTGTGATAAATCAGTCATTATTTTTAGGACAAAAAGTTTGTGTGTAGCAATTAAGTTATATACCTAATATCCTGGAGCATGTTTTCAGTTGATGTCCTTTTCCATCTTACTCTACCATGGATCACCACTTGGTTGGTGCTTGTGTGAGGCCCTGATGCTGAAAGCTATGTCGCTGGTATTTCAAATATCAGCATGGTGAACAGGCTTCAGCAGAACTTAGACTATGAAGACAGAATAAGCTGACCATGTCAGAGTAATTAGCTATCCTGAAAACTTTATGGATAGCATCGGAACATTGTCAGATACTGAAAACCTCATGAATAAAAGTAAAACATTATCAGAGATAATGCGAGAAGATGGGGATATCAGGTTGGAAGGCACTCAAAATATGACCGGGGACATCCGTGCTTGGTAAAGTTTAGAGGGGCAGCTAAAAAGGAAAACTCTTGGCAAGATAGATTGACACAGTGGGCTCAAACAATTGTGAAGATGGTGTGTGGCCGGACAGTGTTTAATTCTATTGTACATACTATGAAAGGGTCCTGATAATCTATTTCCATTCCTGTTTCCCAGATTTCATCCCCATTCTTCTAGGAACTCTACCTAACTTCTCATGTCCCTTCCTGCAGATCCAGTGGTTCTGGAGAGCACTGCGCTCTTTTGACCAAGCTGACCGTGCCAAGTTCCTCCAGTTTGTTACGGGTACTTCCAAAGTGCCCCTACAAGGCTTTGCTGCCCTTGAAGGCATGAATGGCATTCAGAAGTTTCAGATCCACCGAGATGATAGGTCCACAGATCGCCTACCTTCTGCGCACACATGGTAAGAGGAAGGGGTGGTTCTCCTTTTCCAGCATTCAGATTTAACGTGTATGGTTAATACACTTCTATCCCCTACCCAAAGTTGGAAACAAAAATTTGCCCCAGAGCTGAATCCTGGGTAGCCCACAGTTTGGTGATTTTTTTTGGAGAAGGTTGAGTCCCTGGGTGATATAGACAGCTAAAAAACTGAGTTGTTAACTGAAAGATTACAGGTTCAGATCCACCCAAAGGAACCGCAAAATAAAGTTGGCAGTTCTCTTCCCAAAACTTTATGGAAATCACAGTTCAGCTTTGACACACTTGGGGTCACCATGAGTTAGAATGGACTTGATGACAACTGGTTACAATTCCCTGGGTGGTAAAGATGATTAAAATCCTCAACTGCTAGCAAAAAGTTTAGCAATTCAAGTCTTCCTAGAGATCCTCAAAATCCTGGCATTCTCAAACATAATAGGGTTGCCACCAGTCAGAAGTGACACCACAGCAGCTAGTTTTTTATGGAGTTGGTTCTTGCGACTGGAAAGATGGGCTAGATACACAGGGGAGACATTTGCATGTGAATTAACCCCACAGCCAGGGTTCTGCATCACCAAAACAAGGAGAGATTTCAGGGAACAGAAAGCTAATGAATTCAGAAGTCTTGATCAATAACCCTGAATACTTTCTTAGAGCTTGTACTTGGTGTGTGAGAAGAAGACATGGTGTTTAAACCTAACCCATTGCCATCAAGTCAATTCCAATTCATAGAGAACCCTACAAAGGGTTTCCAAAATAAATCATTATAGAAGGGGATCAAGTAATCTTTATTCACTTGGAGTGGCTATTGCATTTGAACCACTGGGCTTGTAGTCAGCAGTCTTAACATTTACCCAACACAGCCACCAGAACTCTTATCTTATTTAAGGAAGTAGTACATTTTAGAGGTGACTGGGTTACCAGTATTTCTTTTGAGAGGAGAACAGACTGGGTTAGGACAGAATTAAATAACAGCCAGAATTGAGGATTAAGTTCCCTCAGGGAAGAAAAGTCAGTGGGTATCGTGGGAACACAGGAATTTGGTTACTGTCTTTTGTCACTATCTGAACTTTCTTTCCTTAGTTTTAATCAGCTGGACCTGCCTGCCTATGAGAGCTTTGAGAAGCTCCGCCACATGCTACTATTGGCCATCCAGGAGTGCTCTGAAGGCTTTGGGCTAGCCTAGTAAGGCCCCATCCACTTCTGGGGGTTTTCTACCATTGTTGAACCTAGGGACGGGGGAAATAGAAACAAAAAGCACCAGAAGGAATTTGTCAGAAACCAATAAATGAAATCCACCGACTCACCATGTGTATGTTCCGGCTGCCCCATATTCCTTAGCATACCTGTTCCCCTCTCTTGCTCATTCTCTTCTTACCTCACTTTTGCCCTTTCCATGCCATTCATGATCTCTCCCCCACCCCCATGTGTTAAAAAGGCAATAGCCTTTGCAGGGACCTATTTGTCCCAGCTGTTCGAACAGTGTGCTCCTCAGATTCTGTGTTCAGAAGGATTTGCTGCATTGAGACTTGAAACCTTTGGATAGGGGAAAAATTATATATATATATATATTTTTTTGTTCTGTTTGCATTTCTTAATTTGTGCTTGGAATGTGTTGATGTGCACAGCTAATGATTCAATGCGAGACAAGATTGGCGTCTGTGTTGTGGAGGTTTCAAATAAAGAGCACTCTTCATAACTCACTCTTCACAATGGAGTTTTTTTCAAGCTTAAAAAATCAACACCTGTTAAGCATTCTAGATTTGACATATGGAGAAACGATCCAAATATGAATGCTCTCCAGAAAACCATCTTTTCCCTGCTCACTTTCCCCTAGCTATCGTAACACCACTGGTGCATCTATCTTCCTGATTCAAAGCTGGTTTCCCTAGAATCAGAGAAGCAGGGATTGGGGAAAAAAATCTTTTATTATTATATCTGAATTTGGGGCACAATAATGGTGTTGGAGATTGCAGCAAAGGACAAAGAGTCACCTTGCTCTCAAGGGTAGCAAAGGCATTAGGCTGTACAAAATGTTCAGAAAATTCACTCAACTGAGGGTTTATTTGTTGAGACTATAATGATATCAAATCTGGGCCTCAGTTTAAATTTGTTTCATATTTTAGTTCATTTCTAATAAATTTTAATGCATAAATAAACTGACTAGCTCTCTAGATACCTTCCCATCCTTTTGATTTTTGTTTTTTGTGTCTTATAATCTTGTCTGCCAGTCTATTTACAGATCACCATCCAGCCTTAACCGTCAAAAGAAAAAAAGGTCATGTAATGGAAGTTCAGTTAGAAAAAATAACCAAAAATTATCCTTGCTTTAGCGATTTATTTGTCCTGAGAGTCCACTTTCACTTGACAGAAGGATGGTTCTAGGAAAGCAGAAGTGTTTCGTAACCAGATCCCAGGATCCTGATGTAAATGACTACTAAATTTTTTTCCCCTTCTATATTAACATTTGTGTATGCCTGGCTTCTCTGACTATTCAGAAAACAATCATCAATCCTGTTCATGCTGTTAATTCAATGGAAGAACGCTGATCTGCCCTGTAACAGATTTGCAAATATCCCTGGATGCATTAAGCAGAAAGTACCTGACCTCATCTGAATGGTCAGCAAAGTTTTTCCAATGCAGTTGAGTTGAAGGAACTGGCATGAGGCTGGACATTCCAATAAGCCCTTAAAAGGAAAAGAAACATAGTATAATTGATATATAAACTGGAGAATGGGTTATTGGAAAAATCTAAATAAAACTGACAAATATAAAAGTCTTCGTGGGCTAGGTCTCGTGAAAATGGGGTTAGTGGTGGAATAATGCTAAAGGAAATAAAACAGCTAATTACATGGCATAATAACATACATGGTGGTCAAGTATGCTTTTCCTCTGGAATATGTATATGGTGTGTTACTTAATCACCTCAATGTCATGAGAAAAATGTCAGTCTTTAAAAAATATTTGCTAACATAACTCTTAAAGATACTACTTTGATAAATATTACACCTGAAACAAAAATGCTCAATTACCACTTTTACACCTGTTCTGCCAGGAAGCAAGGTAATCTCAATGGTAAGTAAAAGCTCAGTGTAGTACTTCTTTAAACATGGTAAAACTATGTATGTATCAGTGAAAAACATATCTAAATAATAAGAGAATAAAATAATTAACTGAATTAAATTAACAATCTTGGGTTAACAAGAGTATGCAGTTGGTGGTAGAGCTTCGACTTCAATGGAGTTTTATTTCTTATACTTTCGATTTCGGTCCCACATTCTGGAACCCAATTGAGTTGGTGAAGTTCCAACTCTTTAAACCTAGGAGGCGTGATCCCACCATTTTGAAAGCCAGGAGATGGTGACTCCACCCTTTGAACCTGAAAAGATCCTGCGTCGAAAGCTCTTTCCAGAAGTTCTGAACTACTCTAGGAGTGATCTCCTTTTTTTCTGAAGGACAATTTGGCCTGTTTACTGCCTATAGAAGGCAGCATTCTTGCTTACATTATTTCTCCTCCTAAATCTAAAGTGATAGGTTTTCTACTGTGCCTTAATTTCTTTAACGATTTTATAGGCACATCTTTGGTAAACATTCTAGGGCATGTGTCCTTAATTTGTATTACGCAACAATTTTTTCCAAATCTTTAAAGTTCCATTCTCATTTTGCAAGTCTATCTTACACAATTTATAAGCAGCAGGAAGTCATGTGGCCCCTTGCTTTAGAAATTTAAACCAAATACCCAAGTTCAACACATGTTCTATGCTGCTCTATAAAAAGCGGTGTGTTTCCTCTATTGCCCAATCACTGCCATCACATGCTCTTTTTTATGTTTCGATGCATTACATCCCTAGAAAAAGAAGCCCAGGATTTTCCCTCCTGTGTTTTCGCCTGGCGTCCTTGTGGTCCATGATGCCAGCGGAGGTCGTCAGCACGATGAAACCGAACTGGCCGGAAGGGATTAGGTTATTCTGCCACATGTGAGCTGCACGTCAAGTCCTAGGGCTGATCACTCCATACTTGTTTATATCTGCTCGTGAGGTTCACACCAATTTTCCCAGCTCTGTGATCATTGATTTCAAATTCACCAATGTAGCTGTGCTTCATCAGCACAGAAACAGGACAATGACTTTGGAGCACGGCTTAATAACTTGGCACTTGCCTCTCTTCTAGGCGTTATTGATGCTCTTGAGAGCGTTGGCCAGGACGTTCATTTGCACCATTATGGAAGCACAGAAAGATGGCGGAAGGAGCGCTTTTTTTTTTTAAGAGCCTCAAGGTTCACATTTCTAGCAACATATTGCTAGTACCATTTGTATTCCTTTTATGACTCGCTTCACTTTTAGGTCCTTCCCTTTAGCAATTTAGGCTTTCACATTCTAGGCCTCCACTCATTAGCCAATTCCAAAATTTGCTCATTTTTAAGTGTTTGTTAGAGTACCATCCCACCCTTCTGGGACCAAATTCTGTATTGAGTGTCCAGCAATGCTCTATCAAACACAGGTAGATGGATTAACAAAAACAAGTTCCTTTTAGTTGAATTATGCCCTCTAAAACATAGTTTTAAGATTTAGCTTCATGCCATATGTGGAAAGTAAGTTAAAATGGAATTAAGAACTGAAATAGAAGAATTAAAACCATAAGAAATCTTAGAAGGAAGCGAGTAAATTGTTAAGACTAGATAGTGGGTTCTTAGATATGACACCAAAATCGTGAACAACAAAATGTAAATAAGAAGTAAACCATCTACATTTATAATTGAATGCAGAGCAAAAAAATTTCTTAAGACCCTCTTATTGAGTGCTCTTACAACTCTTTGTTACAATCCATGCATCAATTGTATCAGACATATTTATATATATTGCCATCATTCCTTTCTAGATATTTACTTTCTATTGAGCCCTTGGGATCAGCTCTTCCCTCCCCGCCCCCCCATGGCCCCTTGGTTTACAAATTATTTTCATATCTTGCACCGATCACTGGTTTTTTTCTTGTTCTTTCCTCTTGGGTGGGTGTGCTTATGTGCCATTCCTTATGATCAGTTCCCCCATATTCCTCCTCCCCCACTTCTACCTACCCTTTTGGTATCACTGTTCCTGGGCTCTGTGAGCTTTATCTCAATCTGTATGTACATTTTCCGGTTCAGGCGGAGCAAAAATTTAATAAGCAAATTATGCTTGAAGAAGTGGGTCACTGCAGAGTGGGGACCCACAGCCCATCTGGGCAACTGGACATCCCCTTACAAAAGGGTCGCCGGGAGAAGACGAGCCAGTTGGTGTAGTGTAGCAATGATAAAACCTACAACTTTCCTCTAGTTCTTGAATGCTTCCCACTCCCCACTGTCATGATGCCAAATCTACCTTACAAATCAGGCTAGACCAGAGGATGTACACTGGTACAGATAGGAGCTGGAAACAGAATCCAGGACAGATGAATCCCTCAGGCCAGTGGTGAGAGTGGCGATGTTGGGAGGAAAGATGGGGTAGAAGGGGGGAACCAATCACAAGGATCTCCATATAACCCCCTTCCCTAGGAGACAACAGAAAAGTGGGTGAAAGGAGACATTGGACAGTATAAGACAAAATGTAAATTATCAAGAGTTTGAGGGGAGCGGGGGGGAAATGAGCTGAACCAAGGGCTCAGGTAGAAAGCAAATGTTTTGAGAATGATTATGGCAACAAATGTGCTTGGCACACTGGATTGTGATAAAGAGTTGTATGAGCCACCAGTAAAATGATTTTTAAAAATGGTTCACCTCGACTCGAAGCCCTAAAAGGATGGAAGGGGGGAAATGTGTGGTAATATATATAGCTCATGTTAGCTGTCATAGTTACAACCTATAGTAATCCTAAGCAAAACAAAATACTGCACAGTCCTGAACTATGCTAACAATTGCTCCTATGCCTAAGCCCATTATCACAACCACAGTGAAAATCCATCTCATTGAGTGCTTTCCTATTTTTCGCTGATGCTCCACTTAAGAATTATGTCCTCCAGTAAGATCTCCCCTGACAATGGGTCAAAAGTATGTAAGAAGGAGTTTTGCCATCCTTGCTGCTGCTTTTTTTAAAGATCATTTTATTAGGGGCTCATACAACTCATCACAATCCATACAGACATCAATTGTGTAAAGCACATTTGTACATTCATTGCCCTCATCCTCAAAACATTTGCTTCTAAGGAGCACTGGCTTGCCTTACAAGGCAGATCAGTTTGTCCTTTAAGCGGTTCATGATAACTTTGATGAGTTTTCTCCAGCATAATTCAAATGCATCAATTATTTGCTCTTCCTTATTCAGTGTTCAACTTCACATGAGCCGGGCACAACAACTTCAGCTTTTTCCATTTACCTACTGGTCCAGTTGTGAGGAATTTTGTCATCTTTACATTGAGTTGTAATACTGAAGGCTACAATCCTTAATCTTCATCAGTAAGTGCTTCAAATTTTCATTTTCAGCGAGCACAGTTGTGTCATTTGCATATCACAGGTTGTTAATAGCTTGCCTCCAATTCTGATGGCACATTTTTCATATAATCCAGCTCATTTGCTCAGTGTACAAGTATGGTGAGAGGGTACAACCCTGACACCTTCCCTGATTTTAAACCATGCAGTATTCCTTTATTCTGTTCCCACAATTGCTGTTTGGTCTATGTATAGGTTCTTCATAAGCACAATGAAGTATTCTGGATTTCTCTTCTTAAGGTT